CAAGAGAGGACTTCTTTAGCAATTTTTGTCATTATAGGGGGTTTGGTGGATTTTTATCTACCAAAATACCGTTATCAATGATCAAATGGATTCACTTGAAAAATAGATTAGACATTTGACATGATTATTTAAATGTGTGTCAGGTCATGTTTGAGTCGTTAGCTGGTTGTAAAACAAAAAAGCATTTAAACATTTCATTATAGAACCTTGCCTTGCCTACAAAGCCTTCATGTTGTCACTATGATGCATTTATCTTGTCACATTCTGTTTTTTGCTAGACTATCTATCTTCTCACCGTTCTTTTAAGAGTAAATCATACATATAACCCTTAAATTATTATGACTCTTTGTGTTAATTAAACTACTAATTTTTTTTTAATAATTGAGTCTATGAACTTTCTAATTATGTCAATTGAACCCTTCTATCTGCCTCCGTTAGAGTGTGACTCATATGACCATACGACACAAAAAGACAGAAAGACTCAATTGACACAATTAGAGAGTCAATTAGCTCAATTGACACACAAAAACAAAAATAAAAATTCAAGAACTTAATTAACATAAGAGTCATAGTTTAAGGCATATGTGTAATTTACTCTAACTCATTTGTATCACGCGAGTGACACACTTCGCCACTTCCATTAAAATATCTAACGGAGGTAGACAGAAGGATTCAATTAACACAATTAGAGAGTTCAGAGGCTCAATCGACACAATTAGACAGTTCAATGGCTCAATCGACACAAAAAAAAAAATAAGAGGCTTAATTGACACAAGAGTTATAATATATAGACCATATGTTGCCAATGAAAGACTTTGAGAATAAAGATAAAGCATTTAAAAGAAAGTATATAGCTTGGAAGAAGATAAACATTTAAATTTATCCTCCCATTGATATATATCACCTCGTCAAAAGGAAAAAAAAGAAAAGATTATCAATGAAAACAGTATCACATTCCATTCAAAAAGAACTAACAATCGTTGCACTACGTAAGTTTTATGTTTGCTAATTCGTATCTTTTCGTTTAATTGTAAAGCAATATTCATCTGGTCATTATCTAAGAATTATCAAATACAATCCCAAAAATTCCCTTAATTGTTCTTTTAAGGGGGAATTGATGCTTTATTCCTATTGCTTACGGCTGCTTTATTCTCAAAACCTTTGTCATTGGTCTAATTACATAATGGTAGATTACCAACAAAGTTGAGCATAAACCTAATGATAGATTACCAAATCATTCTTTTATTGCTTTGATTCTAGCTTACTCCTTTTATAGCAAAACAACCACCTCACTTTTCACTAGCTTTGGAAGAAAAATTCCAATTGATTTTTGTAAGAATACCTTTGGAAAGTACTCACTTTTTGCATACCCAATGAAGGGTATATGGTATACTTAATTAACTATTTTATAATAGAGAATTAATTCATGAGGGTCCATCATTAGTTAATTGAAAGGTACCATTCTTTGATTAAGATAGATGGTTTGTTTAGAAGCTCACTTGTAGAATTTTCATTTGATTTGCAAACCAATACCTTTGGAGAATTACAAAAGGGCCATAACAAATGAAAGATACCATTCTTTGATTAAGATAGATGGTTGCCTAGAAGTTCACTTTACTCTTGTGCACAGCTGGTCTCAAACCCGAATAAAGAAGCAGGGTTACATCAACGAGCGTAAAATTTGCTAAACCAAATATATGTTGTTTAAAAGCTCACCTATAGAAATTTCATTTCATTTGCAATCACCACAATAGGAAAATCACAAAGGGTCTTGCAGCCTAGTGGTTCCATTTTAGCACTCAAAAAGATAAAATTGGAATCAAGCTTTATAATATAAGTTTAGAATTCTAATCCTTATCTTATATATATATATATATATATATATATATATATATTCTCAATCATCCATATTCTTGGAAATATCTCAAATAATACATAAGTGATCGAACATGTAATTTGCAGAAAATGCTTTAATTTCAAATCGAAACATTCTTCTCCGCGAATTCCGGCCCCGTTCATTAGGCCATTGCAAGAATGTACCATTCAAGAGGACACCAACAATCCTTTTGGTGATTGAGATGGATCATCACTTTTTCTAAAAACAAGATGAGGTCTATATGGAAAGGAATATGCATCTTGAAGGAGTAGTGCACAAATATCTTGTTTGATTAGATGTAGGACTTAGGATTTGGCTTTTCTAAGATGTGATCACATGGGCTTGTAGCTTATGTTGATGGATGAGAGGGTTTATATTTTCTGTGGAGCCTAGTCCGTCTTTGATTCTCACTAGGTTTAAAGCAAAGCATGTTGGAAAAGGTGGATGTGTAGGGGCTCAAAATGTTCCCTGGATAAAACTTTGCATGAACATGGAAGCATGAAGAAAATAAAGAAAAAAAAGCTGATGTGGCATGCTGGGGGTACATGTTGGGATATAGAGAATCAAAGATCTTTAACTTGGCCATAGAGTTGCCACCTCAATGTCTCAAACACTCTCACTATTTTTGTAACAAAATCGAAAATTCGTTTCGTATGCAAATTGTACTTTGGGGGCGGTTGGAAGTGATTTCAACGAAAAATAACTTCTTATGCTCACTTGAATGATCAAACCGATATGCTTTATTTGCTAGTTCCATGTTTTTCAAATGCTTGAAAATGAAATCTTATTCTCATTCCGGAGGTATTTGTGCGGATTCTAGATACATGTTAAATGAAAAAATGAAGAAGTATGCATAAATTCGTACTCAAGATTGAAAACAAACAACAAAGGGAGTTATAGTTTACAGTTTAACCGGTGGAAACTTTCCCTTCTTTTTAATGGTGGTAGTACAAAATTAGGTATGTGGCTTTAAAGGAAAAAAAAACCCTAATAGACGCGCCAATTAGACATGTAACTATGTTCAACAACTCAGGCGACCCCCAACAACTAGAACAAGAATCAATCGAGTTGAGTATGAAATTTAGTTACAATACAACAAGTATTCGATGCAAATACTTTTCACAGTGCAATGAAATGCACAAGGTGGTCCAAACAGATTAGGTTGAGTTATGGAGAAGATGCTAGTTGGGTCCAAAACAAAATCTTTGTCCTGGTAGTGCTAGAGGTTTGGTCGGGATCGGTGCGGTCACATAGGACCATACTTCAGGAGGAGGGAGTAACATGTTCTAGCAGGGATGAGACCATGCAGCTGATTAAAGAGAAAGTGTATGCCTTAAAGGCCTACACAAATGCATATCTGTTCGTAAATGTTCCTTTACAAGCTTTCAAAGTTGTTGCTCAATGTCTATACATTGCATACAGTGTCACCTTTTCGTACGAAGTCTGCCAAATTCGTATTCAACTTCCACTTTCCTTCCCCTTTTCTAGTTTGTGACTTCACTTCTTAATTACACGGTAAGACACTTTCTTAGGTATACGATATGACGAGGGTAGACTTAACTAGTACGGTATTTTGGGACGTAATTTATTTTAGAACTTTTATCTAAATCATTTTTACCACTATACAAAATTTTATATGATAGAGTATCCATATATTTGTACTTGATTTCTATTATCTAAATAATATATAATTATAAATTTATACACACGTAGTTAATTAATATGTATTTTATATTTGTACTATGTATACAATTCTGAATTGTCCATTTTGATGATCTAAATTACGAACCCGCCATTTTTAGGATCAATGTACTCAGATCGTGAGTCGTCATAAATTTAGTGAATTCTGATGACTCTGGTTAAGATACTATCTAGTATCTTAACCATAAACATAATAAAAGTACAATGTAGACCTTGGCACACTATCTAGAGTTGATCATCAAGATACCGAGTTTCATTATTGTGTAAGAATTAAAAATAGAAATATAATTTATCTTTGACGAGGTTTGGCTCTCGAACCCCATATGTAAGTTGTCTTGCACATCTCGATTAATACATAATAGTAGGACTTGGAGGCACACTATTGATTCAACACTCACCAAAGTAATGGGAAAAATAATTGAAGGAAAAATGATAAAGTTAGTTATAGCTGTTCTCAACTTTTTGTGTGTCCTTGACTTCTTTTCTTGTCGACAATTCCAAAAAACAATGCAAGAAGCACCAAATTGGAGTGGAAATGGGCTATTTTGAATTTTCCAGTGCCTTTCAAATCAATCCATCTCTTCTAACTTTTTACCTAATCTACTTACATATTTTTCCTCCCAAAGGGATAGAAAAAAAAACACTAAAAATCGGGTTCACGTGGGCCGGAAATGTATTTATTTTACAACGTAATTTAACAAAACTCAACTCAAAATTTTATGTCGATTATTCATATTGAAAGATTCGAAGCTCATGTCGTCGAAGAATGAAATGAACAAATGAAGTGAATGTAGTCAACAACAGGTAGGCAAATGAGTAGTATCATGAGAACCTCACATTGGCCATCCACACCAAGTGGGATTTGGAATCCCTTTCTTTTTGGTCCCGCCGGCCAGAAAGTTCTTGAATTTCCAACACCACCGTTCACAAATTTTTCACTATCATCATCTACACTTTCCAGGTATAGCAATTCGATTCCATCACAGTTCATCTGTATTTTTGCTTCTTTCTTTCCCAATACTCTACTTTTCCAAGTATACTAATATATATACGAGCTATGACTTCAGACATCATGAATTTGAATCTTGACAATTTCTTGAGGCCAGTTTATGTGAAATTTATTCTTTATGAATATCCTAACCTCGGCGTGGATGACCTGCTTTTAACCAGATCGGAAAAATGATTAATTGAGATGCACATCGGATACCCTTAAATGTAGAACCAAAAAAAAAATACAGATATATACAAGAATGTGGAGGGAGGGTTGTGTGTATACTTGTGGAGTTAACATATGCATTGAAGTCATTTTTTTTTCTTTCTTTTTATTAACTAGAAGGTATCTGGACTTCTTAGACCACCCGAGTATTCCTCCCAATCACGCTTACACATATGAGGTTGCATGACCTTATTTCCAGCATTCATCATGCTAGAAGGTAATATATGAATTCTTTTTGTCCAATTTTCATGGTGAGAAGAAAGTACATATGTTTTTTTCATCAACATCCAATCTCTTTTGCTCATGATACGAATACGATTATGATCCGTGACAATGTATTGTATGAGTCATTTTCTATTTGCCTATTTCTAGAAAAGTCTATGAGTCTCCAATCTCTCTCTCTCTCTCTCTCTCTCTCTCTCTCTCTCTCTCTCTCTCTCTTCAAACAAAGATTCTAATGGTGGGGTTCAACACACTTGGATAAAGAAATTGGATTCCCCTCAATCCGATTATGCCCCCCCACAAAAATAAGGTTGAGTGTGTCTCAAACATCCTGACCTTGTTTGTATCCTCAGACTTGCCCTAGGTGGCTCCCCACATAATTAGCTACACTTATACCCAAACATACCTTAATAAACTTACAAGTTTTTTTTTGTTTCCCTTTGGTTTCCAACGAAATTTGAGGGATCAAAGAAACCCTTCAAATGTTATCACGTGACACACACATAATCACTTTTATTGATTAATTTAACCCATAATTTTTGCTTAGACCAAAGGGGCAGAAATGAAAAAGTTGAGAGTTTGCAGTGACAAAATGAAAAAATGGGAGCCAAAATGACAGAAAATGTATACTTGAATGGCCATATTTCTCCAAGTTTGTATATATATATATAACTACCCTATATTAATATTATATTCCACAGCTACAGCTATATATATCCCCTCATTCCCTCCCCTAAATTCATCTTCAAGCTCACATACCACCTTACAGCACTAACTCTCTCATTCTCTCTTGTCCTTTCTCTGCAGGTCCATCAGAAATGTCTGGTGTTTGGGTGTTCAAGAATGGCGTTGTTCGACTCGTCGAGAACCCGGGAGCTGAGTGCCAGGGTTCGAACGGTCGTCGTAAAGTGTTAGTCCATGTATGCAGTAATGAAGTGATTACATCCTATTCAGTTCTGGAAAGGAAGCTTTCATCCCTGGGGTGGGAGAGGTACTATGATGATCCTGACCTCCTTCAGTTCCACAAGAGGTCCACAGTTCATCTCATATCTCTCCCCAAGGACTTCAGCAAGTTCAAGTCCATGCACATGTATGATATTGTTGTTAAGAACCGAAATGAATTTGAAGTTAGGGACATGTAGCAGTCGACGTTGTTCTGATTGTGTAAATCTGACCCTCCTAAATGGGATCCTCGTGTACTCTGCCACCATTTTTTAGATATGTGTAGTAGTCAGTCCTCCGTGCATCATCTACTGTCATGTGTGTAATTTTTTTTTTTGGGTTGTCTTTGTTTGGGGTTTTTAGTTTCAAGATCTAGTTACTTTGTTTCTGACTTTCTGTTTAGGTTAGGGAAGCTATAGTGTGTTTGCTGTTAATGTTCTGTAAATTATGTATTTATTGTTATTCTAAGAACTTGTTCTTTTTTGGTTTAATGATGCATAACCATCCTTATTAATCACACGTCCTTTAATCTCGTGGTTATATGACTAACTACACATACGCAAGTAGTTTAGTTTCGGTGGGCTGCCGTTGAGTTCAAGATAATAGTCGGCATAATCATGTAACAAAAAAAAAAAAAAACCAGCAGTTTAGTTTTGCAGTTATTCCATTAGAAGTAAATGTGTGTAAAACCCAATTTTTCATTGTGTTTAATTCTATTGGGGAACTAACAACCTGTTAGCTAATAAGGTTGGTAATAAAAGGTACAATCGAACAATACTATATGAAAAACAATTAGATCAATTTATTCAATTGGTTTAGTAAGTTCAAAGGCATTAGAACAATGGTATGTGGATCTAAATTACAGACATAATCATTCATAGTTATAGGATTAATAGTATATTCCAATATTTTTTTAGACTTACTACCAATTCAATAATTACAATGATTACGATGAGTTAAGTCCAAATAAATATTAGTGAAAGTGTAATGCTATTTATATATAAAAACTTGGCCTAATTCACTGACTTAATCACGTGGTCCAATATCATTCTTATAATTGTTGAATTTCTTCGTTAAAAACATTTTCTTTTGACACATCAACATGTCAGTGCGTATATATATTAAGTTAGGTAAAAATAACATTATTCTACTTGAGAATATCTGTGATGACATGGATGAGAGAGTGGAGGGGGTAATGACATGTCAGCTTATTTGATGTTTGCTTGCTGAAAGAAATTCAGAGAGGTAGTCTTATCCATAAAAGGTGGCTTTTGTGAGATATGATAGGGCAGAGATGGAAGCCCTTGAGAAGGCAAAACATGTAGAGGGTAAGCCAACCATCAACTTTGCCTATATCCTCATGGACTTATATCCAGTTTTTATGGAGAGGAAATGTGCCACACAGATATGTGCCGACAAAATTTACATGGACTATTCAACTTTCATTTGTCTTAAAAGAAGAATGTGTATGAATTGATAGAGTTTTCGGTAGGAATGACAATGGATCAGGACTGGGGATAGGTAACTGTCTAATAAATATCTTTATTCTCGGTTTAAACGAGACGGGTTTGTACGAATTCTTATTTTTCCTTGGTCCATTGTCATCCCTAATTTTCAATTGACTGGTTAAAATAGTGACCCAATCCATTAACAATTTATTCTTTATTTTCATAGTTACAACGCAAATTTTAAATATACACATTCACTTATAAACTATGTGCATTGAATACTTCAAAATTTTGAATTCAAATTCAAAATATGTAAATTTACGTCTCATCTTTTATCTCACTGGTCAAGATCACTCTTTCTGATTTTCAGAAAGAAACATTTTTGGGTAAAAGAGAGGACAGTTTAGTATGTCTTCTTGTTAAGGCTGTCAAATGTATAGAACAAATGCAAGATTTGTGCAGATGTAGCAAAATTGTGTTTGGATATTGCATGTAGAAAGTTATTACCAAAATAAAATGTTTTCTTAAACAAAGACGATTGAACTAACAAACCACCACCAAGAAGTGCCAATAAGTCTCACATTACTGGATTTATTTACATGTCATTAACATAAACAAATAAGCAAACGAGTCGCACGGGTTGGTTAATGTTCGACGAGGACTAAGGTATATACTAGCATGTCTTGAATTCGAATCCTACCGATATGCTATGAAAGTACTCCATCCAAATGTTACCCCGTATTACATTGGAAGATACCATAACTACTAATTTTTTTTCGTAAGAGGTTAAGTCAGCAACGGCTGCAAGAATCCAAAAAACACGTGCTTCAAAGGTTTGTAGGAGAGATCTCTCTCCTTACACTGGCAAAGGGCATTGGCAGTGGCTTTTTGTATAGATAAGAGGCTTATCAAAACGTGTGAATTACTAGCTGAAACCCCATAAAAAAAAAAAAAAGAAAAAAAAAAAGCTCTAGGGAGTCCTTTCCTATTCTTGCCAGCCCATCCCATTCCACGAAGGAATGGGCTACTGTGACACCTTTCTCTCTCTCTTTCTCTCTCTCACACACACACACTCTTGGACATCATCAAGAGGAGGAAATGAACGAACTCATAATAGCGGGTGATGGGAAAGAGAGAAGATCCTTTTTGCATCTTATCCCGAAAGGATGGGGCAAGAGGGATCCAAATTTGTCTTCTTTTGAGTTTGATTTTGATGGCCGGAGGTTTTGTCATGTCATGCCATCCTTTGTTTGTTTTGAAAATATCTTTAATGAAGATAAAATGAAGAAACATAAGTATCCAAAACAGTGAAAAAAAGCAAAGAGAAAATGACAACATATAGCATTGTTCTTTGGCCACACTGTCGAAAAAATCTTTCATGCAAACACTTTCAATTGAATAAATCTTTCATCGTCGACATGTGATACAAACTTTTTTTTTTTTTTTAAGTTCAACGGGTAAAAGTATTTTAGTCAGTTTATATACATTTTGACTAATTTTTTTCTCAATTTGGTCAAAAACATGTCATCTACTCCAGGTATTGAGGACACTTTCTTTCTATAGAAAAATGTTCGATCATAAACTTGTGTGATCAGAGCCAGCATCTCAACGAGCCATTAACAATCAAAATATGTTTTTAATATAATATCAAAAAATAATTTTCCACCATTATTCAAAAAGTTCTATAGCCCCATTGAAATTATTCTTTTGCTAAAAAGTGAGTAAAAGAATGGCATATTGGAAGTTGGAACCCATTACCTCAAAAAGGGTGATTGATAGGTTGTAATCCTTAAAAAAAATTTGGTTTATTAGGAGAAGATTGTCGGAGAACCCACTGTAGAAATCCAGTATCTCCAACTATGTGGAACCTATTACATATTAGCTTATCATGGGATTAATATATGTTTGGTGGATCCCCCTCCCCCTTCCCAACACACACATCTATAGAGAGTAACACTATTTGAACATAATAATTTGACATAATTTATTGGCATAATAATGTAATTTCAGTAGAACAATTGAATCAACACTAAATTTCAATGTTTGATGGACCTCACAGTCAATTCAAAAGTCATAATAAACTATGTTAGTAAAGAGTAATGCTACATTGACCAAATTTGAAGTCCAAATAACATGACAGCTGACTTAAACATCTTTATTTGGTGTCATGTCATTTGGTTCCCAATAAAAATTTCAAATAATATGCTGTCATGTCATTTAGACTCTAAATTTGGTCTCAAATTTGGTCAGCATAACATTACTGATTAGTAAATTAAGTCTCAATAACATTGCTCATATATATAATAAATTAGCTAACAAGTTGAATAATATCCTGTATACACTTCCCTCCCAAAAAAATTACATCACCTAATTTTATCACATGTTCAATCATTTAATATTTAGTTAATTTGTAGTTTAACAAAACTTTTATTTTGTACATTATTCATACACAATAATATACACATGTTAAAAAATTATATCGAGTCATGTATTTTGAAAAAATTTTGACTTTATTTTTAATAAAATAATAGGTAAAAATTAATTTTAAATGATATAAGAAATTAAATTAACTTTAAATTTAGTATAGGGGGATCAATTTTTTGAACGTTAGAATCTTATATTTCATAGTGCATTCAGGTACGAATTATGATTAGTATGTGTATATATATATATGTTTGATGGGCAAGATAAATCTAAAGAGTGAAGACAAAAATGCATAGTCAAGTAATATAAAACTTCATTTAAATTAATCACTGTTCATTCTTTCATACTAGCTAGCGACATATTTTTGTTTAAATTTGTAGTATTCACACTTTCAATCTTCCTTTTTTATTAGAAAATATTAATGATATGAGATTCAATTATTGCATAGAGACTAAAATGTCCCAACAAGTTACTTTCCTTTCCATTCGAGCAACTTTATTTTTCTGCACCTTTTTATAATTCACAATAATAAGAGTCTCGTGCAATTGTTTTTTTTAGATCTTTTTTGGAAAATATTGTTCTAAACTCCTTTTTTGACATAGATGCTTAAAGTGTTGTTCTAGTTTCATCCAAAAAAGAAAAAAAAGAACCATACTCCTAAACACACTTTATTATATTAATCCTAATGATTATGAGCACAACTAGAGGAACACCATAGAGTGCAGAGCACACAATAATTTAATATAAGTAGTGCTAGCACAACTTTTTTTATTATTTTTGCTTAATATTCCTAGTATTTGGAATTTCTTTAGGTCATTGTGCTCTCAGATTCTCCATTTTCATGTTTTGTGATGGATTCTGTTCTTCTACTAGTTCTCTTCCGGCTCCAAAATCGTAATTTTATTATATTTAATAATTAATTAATTACATATTATTTTCAAAAGCCGAGAAAAAAAGAGAGAGAATGATTAACAGGTTTAATGTGTCTCATGCTTCAAGGCAGTGAAGTAATCAGATATGGAAACCTCCTTGTTCTTTGCTTCAGAAAGCAATGCCATACCCATATAAACAGTGAAGATGGAGGACAAGATAAAGAGTGAAAGTTGAAAGTGCGATGCGAAAAGCATAAACAGGTAATTTTATGTCGGATAAAGAGTTAGTTGATCATTAGAAAAGGTCAATGAAAAATACTGCTAAAAATGAAAATGAATGAGACGTGAAATTATAAACACGGATTGAAGTTTAATAATTTACGGTTATAAGTAATTTTATTGACAATACCCGTTTAATAAATAAGTCAGATATGGGTGTATAAAAAGAAGAAAATGGAAGGCAAGAAAGAGCATAGTTACCTTTCCATGGCTTTGCTTAAAGAAGAATAGGGATAATCTGTACCTAAAGACACAGTACAACGTAAGTGAGAAGTGATGAATTTAGAAAAAAAAAAAAAAATCAATGTGAATAATTTTGAGAGGGATGTTAGTGGCCGTTGAATGAATCTATTTGAAATCGTCAGATAAACTTATAGAAATTCGTCTTATTTTATATCGTAAAGTTAGGGATTGTTATTAGACCTGCCAATAGTCCATGCCTTATGGTCTAGAGCACCCAGTATGAGGGTGGGTTATATAACAACAGTGTGGTTATTCTATTGTGAACTAAATGTTAAGAATTCCAATCACATAAATAGTCTTTTTGTATGCTGACTTAAAATTATATAGGGTTCTTTGGAAGTCGATACACCTAAAGTCTGGGCTTAAAATTGTATATAGGGTCGGCCAAATCATTATGCCAATAAAGCTTGAGCTTTAAATCCCGCTTTAAGGAAAATCTTATAATTTATAGGTGTGTAGTAATATTTTAAACAAAAAATTTGAATCCATAAAAAATAGGCTCTACAAAAAATTTAAATTTAGGCCCAAACAAAAAGTTTCAATTTCAATAGATTGGGCCTATTAATTCAACTCATGAAATTAAAAAACCCTAAAATTTAATTTTTTGAAAAAATAAAGGAAAAAAATTAATAATAAAATTAAAGTTACGGAAAAATCAAGTCTTAATTCCCTCCCTCAAAAAATCAGGTTCAAACTATCAACATAATTTTTCAATTATTCTCTCTCTCACTTTCAAGTTCAAATATGATAACAAAAGCTTGAATATAAAACCTTAATTAATAAATTTGTATTTCAAAATTTTAAAAAATAAATTTATTATTAATATTAAAAAAAAAATCTCATTTATTATTTCTATTTTAGATCCCGAAATGTCTGGGGCCGCATCTGATTGAACATATCTAATCCTGCTCAGACCTGCCATGGTTAGAATCTCTTGCAGTGAATCGTCTTTTCTAGTTAAGTAGGCCAATGAATGAAATGCCCCAGCTCTGATCCATTGAAGTTCACACCATGTCCAGTTCCATTTCAGATAATTCTAAGATTGGTGGTTCAATTACAGCCAAGAGACTGATCAGATCATTTCACCTGAATTCCTCACCTTGAAAGTCCAGATTTTTTCTTAGCACACAAAAGATTGCACTAATTAGTTAAAAAAATTCTGGAGTAATTGAGATACTCCTTTGTTTGAATGCAAGCTCTTCCAATGAAGCTTAGATGTATACAAATATTGAATAGAAATTGTCCTGGAGTCTGTTGAAGAAATGCTAGTTGGTGCAATTAAATCCACGGCAAATTGAAACCCAGATAATGAGTGCAAGAAGCAGAAGGATTCCAATAAACATCAACTTTATTTTCATATTTTGATACCACATCTTCCGTCGTAGCTGTGTTCCCGTGTCCTTAAGTTCTTGAGCCTGAACATAGCAAGTACAGAAGTTCAGTACGTGGTGCATAACTGCATATATAAATATAAGGTTGAGATTTAAAAGAACATATGGATCAACGTACTGAATTGTGCAGATCTTCAGCTTTGGTTGCAAGAACAGTTAGGACTTCCCCTCTACCAATTGCCTGAAAGGTGCAAACAGGGTGAATATAACTAGCACTGTTCTATCTACATTCATACATAATGCAAGGGCTTCACAGATGCAAATTATGATTAAACACAGGTACACCAACATTGGCCAATGTTGGCAATGGCTTTCATCAGATGAATGTTGTTTAACTTAACAGTCAATCCGCATTAAAAAAGGCTATGAAAGACTTAAATTTGACTCCATGACAGTATACATGGCTCTCTGCCTTTCACTTTAGTAAAGCAAACTGTAAATTGAAAAAATATGCATTCTAGTCTGAACTAAACTCTTCTGGATGCTGCTAGGTTGAGTAGGAGATCAAATTGGATGCAACTCCTGAAGAGATTTGACACAAAGGAGCAGTACGTAAATGGCTCTCTGTCTTTCATTTTCATAAAGCAAACCATGCATTGAAAATATATGCGTTCTAGTCTCAACTAAACTTTTCTAGGTGCGGCTAGGTTGAGTAGAAGATCATATTGGATGTAGCTCCTGAAGAGATTTAAAACAAAGGAGCTCGTCACATGATTTCATAGACAATATGCCCAAAAGAGAGCGAAGAGGTGAATCAAGATGTTTGTACAAATGCAGTATTGGGTTGACTTTGATTATCTGAAAACTAAACTCACACTCGGTGCCGGAAAGATAATCATACTTACCATTTTTAATCCTTTAATTAGTACAGGTTTGTCATGGCATACGCACACACACAGATTGCTTCTCATGGAGGCATCTGCGGAAGCAGGCTGATTGATTGCATCAAAGTAGCTATATATCCCCTTAGAGCTATTTTCTGACAAGCTCATGTTCAATCAATAAACATATAAATGCTGTATTGCAAATGCTTGAAGACAAGCCACATGATACACCACAGATCCAAGAGAAACCAAATGCAGATCACTCCAAAACTACTTATGTTTTCCCAGTGCATTTGACATACCTTGTCAATATTATCCCGCATTACACTTTTAACACCTTCAACTTGCGCCTTCACTTTCATCAGCTTCTCCATCTCTTCAGGATGTTCTGCTATATACTGCATGTGCCTTTTCATAATTGGTCTGTAGAATAAGACATTTTATTAGTGGGCTGCTTCTATTACATATTTGCTACTCAAATGCATAAGTTTTTACAGCAGATATTTCTTGGCTGAATGTACCCGAACTCCTTATCAAGACTTTTGGCCATAGCTGTATCCGCTTTACCACCAGTATATATTTTTTTGAAATCTGCTTTCACACGTTCCAAAAAGGCAATAGAAATCTGCTGCCCAACAGATTCTTGGGCAACAACGCAATAAGCTGCATAATTCAACAAGCACAACATCAAAATGTTTCAATGAAGTATAGAACATGATGGTGACATGTTTGGTTCCTTCGAGAACAACACTCACTCCGAGCACAAACTGATAGGCTTGGATAGCACTTCTATATGCCTATGACTTTGTCTGTGTCTTTAAACTACAATGCATATTGCAGTTCCCAAAACCATAACATGCTTAGAGGTTTAATTGAAGAGCTATTTTGGCCACTATGGCTCAACGCGGCTTGAAAAGTATCGTGGCAAAGTCGTGGAATGTAAGCTTACCAATAGCCCTTTCATGAATATACTCCAGGAAAAAAAAATTTACATGCTATCAAAGAAAAGACTAGAAAAATTAATTCAACTTAATTTATCTCTATCACTTATATTTTCATCAACAAACTGATTAAGAAGATTGCAGCTAATGGCAGAATGGCGAATGATAATTACTTTCCAAGTTAAGACTTTCAAAGGCGGCAAGCACCCCTTGCCATTGGAGTATGATTTGTACTCTAAATATATTAAAAGTATTATAATATGACTATTTTGTTGCTTATTTTGTCAAAAATCACTCCATTGATATTGATAAAATGAGTAACAGAAACTAACTGAATGGACACGTTACAACACTGTTACAACACTTATATAATATAATACATTGAGGGTGTAACGTAAAAAATCTAGTTTTTGAAGGTATAAAATGAGAATTCTTAAATCTTTTAGGTACAAATTGAAATTCATCCCCCAAAAAAATGAAATTGCTAGGTTTATGAAAGATAGACAACGAACAAATCATAATCGCCACAGAAAACCAGAAAATTACAACTTGCAACACCAAAGTTTTATTAATTAGAACCAAAACTACCAAAAACTTCACACTTGAGTTGATTTCTCCACTTTTCTAGTAACACAGAACAGCACAAAACGAATTACCCAAAATGCAATTTTTCTTCCTCTAATTTTTCAGGCCAGTTTTCTGAGCAACCAAACAGAAAATCACAAAACAAAACAGGAAAAACCCAAATATCTTCTACGTTTAGAGGCAGAAATACTGAGGAACTCACCATAACCATCCTCGACTAAGAAGTTGAAAGTGTGGTGATCAAAGTTATAGAAGAATTTGTTGCTCGATGAGGGAAGTCTCTCGAGGCACTGAGTCGCGATGGCCGGAAAGTTTCCATTGAATTCGGTGTACTCGGCAAGTACAATTGTTCCACGAGCCACGAAGCTGTATATGAACGATATCTGGCCCATTTTTTCTAACTCAATGAGTCAGGTTCCGAGTTCTAGAGAGAGATAGAGATACCACGGACACGGTGGATCGGAAAGCTTCGAGGTTTGTGGTTTCGGCTTGTTTGACGTTGGCATTTTTATAGGACTGTGTGTTGGTTTCTTTTGCCTTTGCTTTGCGGCGAAGGCAGCTGATTTTTTTTTTTCGTTTTGATAATGTCAAAGGAGTGTTGAACTGAGAAGGAGTCAAGAGAAATGGCCATGGGGGAGGAGGAGACTATCCACCGGGAAAAAAACACGGTGGAGTCTGCGTCAACAAGAATGACGGAGACGGCGTCGTATTGACGTGTTGGAACTGGAAGCAGTAAACTAGATTCATTTATAATTGAACAAAACACCCATTTAATTAACTCGTCAAATAAAGATATTTTATTATCAATAGGCTTTTACAAGGGCAAATAGGAAATTTTCTCATGACTTTAAATCCCGTGTTTTAACCCTTTAATTTTTTGATAGAGTGTGCGGATTTATATATATACTAGTTATTGTTCGTATTTGAACACATTATATTACTTATAAAATTTAATACACATAAAGATAAGATGTTTGAATAATTTTAACACATAAAGATTAGATTAATTTTGAACATTTTTTGTTGATGTAATTGATATCTTTTTTTTTTTTGTATTGATCACTTTTTTTTTAAATGAAATATTATATCAAAGGTTTTGAAAAAATTGATATACTAAATAACTTACATATCCAAAAATGGTAACATTCCATTTGGGTACTGATTTTGTGTTGTAGTGACGATGTATATGCGATTATTGGAGTCAAATGTTAAATTATCAAACTTTGAAAAAAGAAACACTAAACTTATAAATATTATGTATTTTATGTATGTTTAATAGAAATATTTTTAATTTGATATAAAGTTTTGTCATAAAATTAAAAATTAAACAAAACCAACCTAAATTAAGGTACAAACAATACACTTTTAACATATAACATTTAGATCATTTAATTTAAAATGAATTCAATCTGAGTTGTCATTATATTTTTTTAAATTTAAGATAAAAATGTATGAAAGATAAAAGTGTAGAGTCTTACGATAAGAGGCTTCTTCATGGACGGGAAAAGAAATTCAGGACTAACTGTAGACCGTTAGATCAAAATTTTTGAGATGATCTGAACCGTCTTTTATGTTAAGATTACGTTATTCGTTTGATGTGTTTATATTTTGTCTTAAAAAGATCTGGACCTCTTTTTATCTTTTGGATTCAAACTTCGTTATACTTTATCATATAGATTAGGGATAACTCGTGCTTGAAGGCACGATGCAATTCAAAAAACATCAAATACTAAATTTGGGCACGAAATAATCAACACACTGAACTCGGACATATACTAAGCTGAAAGCCTGAACTGTCCCCATAATCCGTGTTTGAAATTGTGCAATTCAAAGAAAAAACAAAAAAAAATTACATTGTTCTTAAAAACGAAACAATCAAACACTTAATATAGACACACTAGAAATAAACAAACACTGAATATTAATTGTGAATACAAAATAATCAAGTATTAAACTTGGACCGACACTAAGTTGAAAGATTAAAATGCATCCTTTAATACATCCGCATTTTACATAAATGATTAACAAAGTATTACCTATATGAAAAATAAAAATTCTAATAATAAATCACAATAACCACTTTTTTGTTTTTTAAAATGGACAAAACTCGAACTTGAAAAAAATAAATTCATGCCTCAATGATATTATCATTCTAAAAATTTCAACTTATATGTACAATTTATATATTTTATCATTCTAAAAGGCTAAAAATCCACCCTTAGTTTTTTAAAGACACAATTAAGAACAAATGGTGAGTTGCTCCTAAATAGGAGAATTTGGGTGAGGACGGCGTTGGTAGAAGGGGAGAGGCCCACAATAATGATAGAAATAAGGTGCTGGAACATTTCTATCTATTGCAATGGGCTGAATATCAACATCATAGGTGGAGCCATCCTCCTATCAACAGCAACCCTTTCCTTTCATTTCTCAGTCACATCACTGGATCTACTGAGCTGAACCTTTAAGTCATCAAGTATATTGATACCAACGGAGACAACACACTCACGCACACCTGTATATTGATACTCATAATTAATAGTGTAAAACACAACATAATCAATTAATCAAACACTATATTGAAACATTTCCATCTCTATCTATTCCAAAATCATTTTAGGTTAAAAGCATCAACAAATTAATTTGCAGAAGTATGATAGTTTGAACAGTTTATTTTGAAATGATGAACATCACTTCCACGTATGCCCACAGCTTTCATTCGGACCTTAACAACATGAGGCCCTGAAGTTGCAATCGCATGATTAAAACCCAATTGACCAAACTGATTGAAGAGTTCATAGGAGTCAATTGAAACTCTAATTCTGACTAAAACATCAAAACTGGTACTTCATTTGATTGGAAAAATATTGATCAAAAGGGAAAATTTTGAGTGGAGAGTGACTCTTCTATGACAGTGTACCCAACACAAAAGCAATAATGAAATGCATGAAATTTGGAAACTGGGAATTAAAGAGAGAAAAAAACAATACAGACCAAGAGAACGAACATATATCATTCGCAAAAAAATAAGTGGGTAAAATTGTTTCTTCTCTTTGGCATTCTGTCAATCACCCAATACGCATTAGTGGATTATATATATCTTATATGTATATAAAATCCAAAGAAATGCATACCTGATAATGTTTGCTGTAAATAAGGTATTGGTTCCTCTGTGAGTGAAATGGGCTGAGAATAAGCAAACCATGAAAATGAAGATAGAAAACAGTTGGTGATACAACTTCTGAAAATGGGCTATTCTGGGAAACAAATGCCAGCCACTTGATTTTCATAAATGAATTGGGTAAATTGCACAAATGGACCCCGAGGTTTATCACTTATCGAACTTTAGTCTTTAAAATTTTAATTTCGTCAATTACATCCCCAAACAAATTTAAAAAAAAAAAAACAGCTCTATCCCCCTTTTTTTTTCCCTTAGAACTCCTGCCCCAAACCCAACCCTCCATCCGATGTTTGCCCCATGAAACTCCCCAACCCACCATCGGGTGCCATCACCTCCATTACCCCTCCACCACTCAAAATCCAATCTCCTCCATTATACATCCATTGTAAGCCAATCAAATTAGCTAGTTGTAACCCGTAACAAAATCACCTCCTCCTCTATCACGCAGTTGAAAATTCAAGAGAGAAACAAAAATTTAGAAAGAGGAATTCCCATATCAAAATCACAATCACTTACTCAATTCAAACTTAAAGCTTCATCAATTCAACTCTAGGAGCGTGATACTTAGTCTGATTGTGCCAGCTTGATGAATTACAGCTTGATTTGCCATCCAAGTCCCCTGAAAATCAAGTTGTGCACATAGAGACGCAGAGACAGAGAGATGATGTTATTGGCGGCGGTGCTCGATGGTGTCGCTGGTGGTGTTCGATGGCTGGTGGTTGGCACGGTTAGCGACGTTGGCGGAGAGATGAGGGTGTCGCTGACAGATATAAGAGATTAGGGGAGAAAGAAAAATGGAGAAAAAGGGCGTTGCCAGATAAAGAAGAGAAATAGATATAGAAAAAGAGAAGAGAGTAGAGGTTAGAAGATCGGGGTAAAGAGAAAGAGTTTGGGCGTGATTGAAGGGCCAGAGAGAGAAGGAATGAGCGTAAGAGAGAGATTTGGGGTGTTAATGATGGATAGAGAGTAAAACAGAGAGAAAAGTTTGGATTCGTGAGAAAATAACATGATTAAGGGAATTTTAAAATTAAAATGTGTAGATGAGATAATTTTAAAATAATCTGATAATTAAAAAGGAAAATGTTAGGCGAGTAAACAATATTTTGTACTCACCGTAAACCGTTAGATCAAAAATTTTGAGATAATCTGAACCATTTTTTATGTTTAAATTATTTTGTTCATTGGATGCGTTTATGTTTTATCTCAAAATAATTTTGACATCTCTTTGTCTTTTGGATTCAAACTTCATTCTACTTTATTATATAGATTTTTTATATCAATCACAATTTTTTTAACAATTTAATTTTAATTAATAAAATAGTAAAATAAGTTTTGGTTAATTGTAAATTGCATCCCGAAAGATTGTTTGAATCTTAATTTACACTCCTAAAGATAAAAAATTTTAATTTGCATTCTCAAATATAGAAATTTATATCAATGTGCAACCCCAAAGATTAAAAATCTCAATTTACACCCTTAAAGACAGAAAATTGTATTAATATGCACTTCCAAAAATAAAAAAATCTCAATTTACACCCTCAAAAATAAAAATTTATATCAATGTGTACCCTTAAAGATCAAAAATCTCAGTTTGCATCCTCAAAAATAGAAATTTGTATCAATGTGTACCTCCAAAGATCAAAAATCTCAATTTGTACCCTCAAAAATAGAAATTTGTATTAATGTGCATTTAAAACTAACTGTCATTAATTTGCTACCTGAAACTAAATTGATAAATTATACCTAAATCCCCTCATGCTTGTTATTTAATCATTTTGATATTTTCACAAAATAAAGGTTAATATGAAATTATAATTTTTTATTAAGATAAAATTATATTTTTTAACGATTATAAAATCCTAATAAAAATACTTCCAATTTAAAATGTCCTCCCAATTAGGCATTTAAATAATTATGTTTAAGTGATATATTGTATTGGATATAAAAAATATTACATAAATAACTAAATTCTATTGGACATTCAAATGGTAAACTTTAGTTTGAACTTTAGAGTATATTGGACCCACAAAATAAAGGATAATATAAAATTATAACTTTTTATTAGGATAAATCATATTTTTTAACGGTTATAGTAATAGATATCAATTAAAGAGGGTTACGTGTTACACGTGCACAAACGTCATAAGATGTAGGAGTAATATTCTAAATGTGAAAAAGTCCAAATGATTACATAAGGGGATCTAGGTATAATTTATCAATTTAATTTTAAGTAGCAAACTGACAACGGTTATTTTTAGGTGCACATTGATACACAATTTTATATTTTAGGGGCTAAAATTGAGATTTTTGACTTTTTGAGATACACATTGATATAAATTTTTATCTTGAGAGTGCAAATTGAGATTGTTTATCTTTTGGGATGTATATTGAGATTTGAACGATCTTTCGAGATACAATTTACGATTAGGGTTAATTTCAAATTACACCCTGAAAGATAGTTGAAATCTCAAATTGTACCCCCAAAAATCAAAAATCTTAATTTGTACTTTCAAAGATAGAAAATTGTATCAATGTGCACCTGTAAATATAAAAATCTCAATTTGCACCCTCAAAGATAGAAATTTGTATCGCCTAAAACTAAAATGATAAATTATACCTAGATTCCCTCATGGTTGTCACTTAATCATTTGGATCCCTTCACATTTAAAATATTACTTCTACATCTCATGACGTTTGTGCACGTGTAACACGTAACTCCCTTTCATTGATATTTGTTAATATAACCGTTAAAAAATATAATTTTATCGTAATAAAAAATTATAATATCCAATGGTAAGTTCGATTTTGAACTTTAGAGTATATCGAACTCACAAAATAAAGGGTAATATGAAATTATAATTTTTTATTAAGATAAAATCATATTTTTTAACGGTTATATTAACAGATATCAATAAAAAAGGATTACGTGTTACACGTATACAAACGTCATGAGATGTAGGAGTAATATTCTAAATGTGAATGAGTCCAAATAATTAAGTGACAAGTATGAGGGGATCTAAGTATAATATATCAATTTAATTTTAGATGCACGTTGATACAAATTTCTATTTTTAAGCGTACGAATTAAAATTTTAACTATTTTTCGAGTTACAACTTGTAATTAACCCTTACGATTAACCCAATAAGTTTCGATATAATACGCTCGTCCGCCCAAACCATCATAATCTTAAAACTCCCTATATTTTGAATTTCACTCCTTTTTCTTCTCTCTCCCTCTCTACTCCCTATATTTGAATTTCTCTCTCTCTCTCTCTATCTCTCTTCAGATATACCCAAACAACTAATCTTTCCCCACAAATAACAATCAATACTCAGCTGACATCTTCATCCAAATTGAACGTAATCCTTGAAATCGTCTCTGATTCTACTCCATCCCCATACTACAATGGCAAGCCCTGATTCTGATTCTGTTCCTGACCCTGCTCCTCTCTCTCTCGTAAGTTTCTCTCTCTCACTATATGTATGTGTGTGTGTGGGTGTGTATATATATAGATATTTTTTTTTGATTTTATTTTTCAGTTCTGGAAAAAGTTGAGGCGATTGATTGATTTCTGAAATCCTCATTTTTTGGACTGTAAATGAAAGTATTTGCAGAAGAACGATAATGTGAAGCCCATGAACTCAAAAATTGCGGTATGTTCAATGTTAGACTGTTGCAGATTCAGGTTATCTGGTTCTCTTTTTTTAAATAATTTTTTATTTTTGGGCAAAACCCAAATTGTGTGGTGTGGAAATGATATGGCTGCAATTGTATTAGGGACCGAGTGAATCGAGACAAGAGTTGCTGAGTAGAATTCAAAATTTGAAACAGGTGACCTCTAAACTGCACTCTCTTAGGCAGAAATGCTAGTGTAATTGCTGTAATAGTACATTTAAATTCCAGTAATAAAAACCGGTTGTTGCCTCATTCATGGTTTGGATGGACTACAGGATCTGCAGAGTTGGAGATCGAAATTAGACACTCAATTTACGACCTATAGCGATGTAAGTATTGTTTGTCTGTTTTGTATGGGGATGTATCTTACCATGATGTTTATATTGTATGTGTGTTTTTGTACGTGGAAAAGCATGTTATGGTTCATTGGGCTTCTGCTTCTTTAGGGCCTGCATCTTTTTTTGAAATGAACAATGATGATGTGGTTCTCTGTTTGTCTAGAATGGAAATTGAGCTACTTGCTAGTTGCACATGCTATGTAGTTCTCTGCCATGCATTGATTTTAAATCTTATTGTGTGTACGCTTATCTACTCTTATTTGGAGCGATTTATTCAAAAGCTAATTTATGCATTTATATTGAAAAGCTATGAAACATAGAACTCCATTTTACCTTGAGGAACAAGTCAATAGTTTTTAATTGTGCCTCTGTGTTCTTGGATTTAAGATTTAAAAAATCCAATGTTTAGAGATCTATCCATGTCATACGGATGTATACCTAATTCTATATATCATTTTTATAGATGCAATGAGATTGTTAAGGTGCAACTAAAAGAGTCTACGGAATTAACATTATATGTGAAAAAAGTATGCATAAAATATCATTAAACCAACTTATTTTAACATAATATACGTATGACACGAAAGAAGGATTAAAGTTGTTTGACCACCAATGAGGGACATCTGATTGTTACTGCATGCTGAGAGGAGAAGCTTGGCAACTGTGTATTGCACTCCTCTTAAAATGCAGCTGCATGTATGGTTTTTAGGGTTGAGTTCATTGCCAATGCTACCTAGAGCAAGTCCCAAGAATTGATTACAATTCAGGTTTAAAATTTCTGGCTGATTAGATGACTAGCTGCTCTTATTTGAGTGCAAAAGGACATCAAAAGTGTGATGTTAATTGATATGCACTTGTTCCATCAACCGTCAATTGTTTGCATATGTTTATGCAACGATTGTTTTGCTTCAATTGTCACCACGTGTACCTTCTTTGTGCTGAATCATTTTAGTACAACCCCCTGTTCTATTTCCTTGTTTGTTGTTTATGTAATTGGATTGATGACTTTTACACAAGCATCAATTTGCTTAGTTTGTTCTCTCTAGCTTATGCTGCTTTCATTTCTAGACAATTTGCTTTGGTTTTACATAAGGAACACTTTTTAGTTGTCTTACATGCTAATTTATGATTTCTTACTTCGTGCAGGAGCTTTCTGAACTCAAGAAATCACTCAATGTTGAAGTGGAGCAACTTCGATCAGTGAGTAACTCTCTTGTACTAAATTCGCTGGCATCTTGAATATGTATTTATTGTGAGTTCATTTGAATTGGATAAATGTAGGAATTCCAAGAACTGAGGACCACTCTTCAGCAGCAACAAGAGGATGTTGCTGCAAGCTTAAGAAATTTGGGAGTAAGTTATCGTAAATCTTCTAACATCATTTTATACTTCCAAAATTGTTACATATACTCAAATTTGGTTCTCTTTTGACACTGGCAGCTGCAGGATGCTTCAGAAGAAGCAAAAAGCGCTGGAGGTCCCAACTCCCAAGATTGAAAGCAATGATGAGAAATTTCAGGATTTGCCTAAAGAGAATAATGGCAAAGAAAGTGAAAAGTAATTTTTTTTTCAAAGCATTCAAGTTTGAAGCTTAAAACTCCATGAGGCATGCATCATTTTTTATTGTTTAGTTGTGAAATTATCTGTCCATTGTAGGTAAGTTAAAAAGGGATGCCACTTGCCAGATTGTTGTCTAGAAGAGGATCGAGCTCTCATCCTTCGTAAGTACTGTTGATTGTTCAATAGCATTTGCCTACTTATCTCTATAAAGGAATTTCCTCTGTTGAATTTTATTGTTCTTGTTGGGGGCTGTTCAGTCCATTGATTCTCATTAAGTCAATTGTCTCTAAACCACAACTGTTTTCGGAGGCCTCAGTTTTGGGATTATCTTGTCTGAATAATACTGGCCTATTGCTTTAAGATCAGCATAGTTTCTGCAGTACATTTAACTTACACTGAAGCATGGTTCAGGCAGTTATTATTAATGCTCCATCCTTGTGTGCAATGTAATGTACGTATGATACTAGAGGGTTAGGCTATATCTATAGGTGGGACTTGTTTCCTGCAATCACTGTGTATGTTGGTGCCCACAAAACATACAATCTATGTATTAGATCAACCGTACATAAGCTGGGGGTGGTTGAGAAAGTCAGCCAGCTTATGCCAAAATTCCAATGGGTTTAAATTTTGTCCCAAATTACATATGTTATGGTTATATGGTGGCCGAAACTTGATAGAATCAGAAGATAATTTGTGTCTGTTTTGGATCTGTGATGAGGAAGTTAAGGATGAAGCAATGACTATAGAACTTATTACGATTTGATTGAGTTGTATTAGACGTAACACTTTGAGTTCAGATAATGTTTTATGTTTTGGTCTCATGTGAATTGAGTGAGTTGTCTAAGATGTCTTTAACTCATTTTAGTCATCATTGCCTTATTGGTTATATAGTGTGTATCTTTCTTTATGTTTAAGTTCTGCTGTCATTTGGCATTTTTTTTGAAGTGTTTGATACCGTCTCGTGACTTTGTGGTTTATGTGTCTTAGTGCCATTCGAGTTAATAATGTGCACCATGATTTTAAACCATGATAGCAATAACAATAATTGTTGGCACATCTATGTTCTTCGGAGCCCTCTTTATCCTTTCATAGCCATATATAACATTGTGTTCGGAATAACTTGTAAAATTTTAAAAATATAATTTTCAAAACTAAACTATTGAATGATGTTACAAATCTCGATATTAGCACCAAGGTGTTTTTTTTTTTGAGGGGGTGGGGGAATTTTTGGCGAGTAAAATGTTTATGTCATTTAGGTTTGTGAGTTCGAATAAAATTGAAGATAAATTTTGGGTGTATGAATTAGTTCTTTAAATTCGTACTAAAGTTGAAAGACTTGCTATGCATTGAACTTTAATTTTTAAGGAATGGGGTTAAGTTTGAGGTAAAGTATTAAAATCTAATAAAGATTTGTTTTTCGATTTTCAAGGGGTCGTTAATAGATAGTGACAAATTTTGGTAGTCGCATTGATTAACAAAAGCGGAAGCATCTATTCAATTCAATTCAATTCCCAACTTCTCTGTTTTTTGGGCTGATTGCATTTTGTACCCCCTGAAATTTGCACTTTTTTTTATTTTCTCACTTTAAAGTACGATTTTTTGTCTTCTAACTTTTAATTTGGTATTTATTCAGCATGATGAATAATTTTTTTTAAAAGTGTAATCCCACTTTGTAGTACGGGTTTATGCTATAGCTCGAGTTAGCCTTTAGGAGCGTTTGTGGTTTTCCAATTAACAATTGTCTATGCTCCATTGGTGGACTTTTCTTGTGGATTCCAATTGTTATGGTCACGCCTAGGTATAATTCCACCCCCGGTTGTCCTTTTTGAACACTTTTCAAATATTATGTCAAATTGTTTTTTTGAGAAATGTCATTGATTAGGTTGAGTTAAAAAAATATTTGAAAAATAAAGGATGAAATTGATAAAATCACAAATCTTGAGACTAAAATGAGGATTTTGCATAATTTTTTTGTTTTTTTGTTTGGTTTTGAACACTTGAGATTGGCATGAACTTTAAAAGTATAAATTGTGTTAACCAATTTTTTTTTTTGGTATAAGACAATGAATTCAAATGAGCCAATTGGTTTCAAAAACTCGAAGTAGAAGCGTTTTTTTTTTTTTTTAGAGGAAGGGTCACTATTTGGAATTTTTGATCGGGAGGAAGATGATAAAGTTCAAATTTATAACCTAATAATTTAATGATGAACTATAATAATCATTAGATTAATTGCTAATCTGCAATAAGCTGATATTAGTTTCGTTTACTATGTCATTCACTTCCTTTACCATCTGCCTCTCTAATAACTGAGGCAGTAAATCATGATGGGACTTCAAGAGTCTCTCTCTCTCTCTCTCATGGAGATAAATAGGATAAATGTGGAGCCGAGCCTGTCCTGTCCTGTCCTGTCTCTGGCTTTGCGTCAAGGCTATCCAAACGGCATCAGTCTATAGTTTTGTGGGGGAAAGAGTGACCAGTCCAGATCGACAAGGTGAATAGAATTAGGCTGTCTCTAATGCCATCCCATGATGCAGTATAGTTTGGACTTCAATATAGATTTGTTTTTAGGGGAAAAAAAAAAAACTAATCTCTATTTCCACGAAATTAGACCTCTTACGCTATTTATTTTATTTTTTTGTAACGAGAATATATTAAATTGGGACATCTTCTTTCGAGTGTACGTGATTTTCCGCTTTAGCATGTATAGACAATTATCAAAATAAATCTTTGAAATTGATGTGTATGGGATTTTCCGCTTTAGCATGTATAGACAATTATCAAAATAAATCTTTGAAATTGATCTTAAAAGGAATTTTTTTTTTTTGGCTAGGTAAAAAGAATCGGTAGTGGCGATTAGGCATACTAACTCTCTAGGACATTATTTTGAAGTTTTCACTTGTTAAACAGGTTTGAATTCATGATTATTGGAGAAGGGATGAATTTCAGTCACTATTGAGAGGCTAACTAGGCTACCACCTCAATGGTGAGAAGACTTAAATTTAAAACCTTCAATTTTATAGTGTAACTACTAAGTTATCTAACATTTGGGTGAACCAGAAATAATCTATGAGTGGGATTTCTCTCTTATAATTAGGATCGATAATCGGGTTGTGTTTGTCAAACTCATTTTTTTAAACGAGTTTAAAAAGATTTTTAAGTACAACTTGCTTTGAAAATAAGTCAAAATTCTTGGAGCCGAGGAATAGGTACATCTTGAAGCCGAGAGGGGGAGGCCTAGCGACCGATGTACCATATTAGACTGAGGGTACGTGTCGGTACATAAAAATGTACTGGATGCCACTCGATCCCTATAATCAGTACCTCGGGGGAGAGGGGATTTGTGACCCGATGGGTACGTGATCTCGGTAACAAGGATTAATGACACCGAGGACACGTGTCTTCATCTCGGAGTATTTCGAAAATGTCTCATCAACTGCCTCCTAGCCTTCGATCTTCTGACACCGAGGACACGCGTTGTAAGGAGACGAAGGGTTTTACAACAACCCCAACTGCTTCATCATTGCTTCTAACCGTTTTTCCCTGCTTAGGACGTCGTGCGCATTAAATGCGCCTTTTCGTGCTTCGCGCCCAATGATGGGATAGGTGCTATATATAAATGGGCTTCCTCTATTCTTTTCTCATTTCATCGTTCTGAACTTTTCTTCACAGAGTCTTTGCCGGAGATTTCGCCGGAGATCCCTTTCTTTTCGTTGTCAACTGTCCAACCATTTCACCGGAGTTTTAAGGCTAGCAGACCCATCTTTGCTTCTGAAACATTCTGGAAGGAGTCGCTTCAAATTTCCCAGAAAAAACTTCTTTTTACATTCTGGTGAGTCCCAGTATCTTTCTTTTTTTCGTCCTTCTGTCCCTTTTGGTTTTCCGATAACTGGAGGTGTCTCTGGTTGCCACTTAGCGACCAATCCTCGGGAAGCTTCCTTGGGGATCTTTAAGGGAAAAAACATCCTCCATTTTTTCTCATTTTCTTCGAGATGCCTCGTCGTCACCCTGCCCCTGAGAATCCTCAGGCCAGTTCTTCGGGGTTAGGGAAATATAAAGTAAAGGGTGGTGAGCAAATTAATAGGTTTAAGGTCAAGTACAACATCCCTCAGTATGTAGATATAGAGGATTATAACCCGGCTGTGCACCCTTGTACCCTCGGTACCGAGGGTGCAATGCCCTTTTATACCAAAGCCATCATAGAAGGCGGAATTAGATTCCCTTTGCCCCTTCTACTCCTCCAGTTTCTCTCCCATTTCCACCTTTTCTCCGGGCAGTGTTGCCTTAATGTCTTCAGGATAATTATGGGGGCCCTAGAGCTCAATAGGCGTCTCGGGTAAATGTTGGACTGAATGATATCCTTTTTTGCTATTTCCTCTTGAGAGTCATGCCTCAACAACACTTCTACCTCAAAGCCAGGGACCTATCTATGTACCTCGTAACTCACCTTCCCGACTCGGACAAGGTGTACAAGGATGACATACTTATCTTCAAGGGATCTTGACAGAGAGGTGTCGGTCTCGAGTATAACGGCTTGTTATGCCCTTTGGAATGGAGAACGACAAATACGTCGGTTCCTTCGGGTCTATTATTTTGTTGTTGAGATTTTCTATGTTCATGACTCATTTTTTGTTTGTGCAGACGTCCCTGCTCGGGAAACAGCTCCTCCCCCTCGGTTGTTGGTGAACTTTGCCGACCTAGTCACAGTTTGGAAATTTACTGGTGACGACGGGTTCGGCCGGGCTGCCTACATCCTCCTGAATTACACTCCTGGATATAAGAAATTTTCACAGCTTTCCCAGCCTTTCGAGCCTTCGCGGTGGTCTGAACTCTTTGATCAGGCGGTGGGACAAGAGGGCGAGGAGAATTTGGAGGAAGATCCTGATCGGGCTTCGGAGGTAGAAGTAGAGGGTGAAGTTGAAGCGCTCGGGGTCAGAGAG